GTTTGGGGAGAGTGTTGGGAGGGGTTTCTTGGTTTGGAGGGGGGTTTGTTTTGTTTTTATTTTTGTCTCTAAAACTATAGACTTAGAGCAAATAACCTCCAAGTTCTTTTCAATTTGTACCCCTGGATTTCTTGTATGGTTTCTCTCTTCAAAATTACTGCTGAAATCTGTTAACTGTTTCAGAAAATGCTATGAACAGGAAAAGACACCTCCTGCCTCCTGCAAGGGTCTTAATAGGTCTTAAAGATCTGCCTATGATACAGAGAATTCAACACTAATAGAAAATAGTTGATAAAGGATCATATAGGGAAGAATATACTGTCCACCAGAGATCATTTTTCCTATGCCTCTGCTTTATTTTTCCTGATTCAGAGCATCAGAGCTCCCCAAACATTATTTAGTTAGAAGAATGTGCATTTCCAAGACAAAATCCTCAAGGTAGGTAAATCATACCTGAACAAATTTGGGTAGATTTTACAAAATCCAAAGTGAGAGGCATGCTAGTTTTCAGAGCCCAGAAAAGAGGGATACTCTGTTCCTTTTAATTTTGACAACATGCTTGACATCCCAGGGAATTTCCTGAATTTTTCTATAGAACTGAATTGGATCCAGACCCTATCTTTGGTTCAGGGGAATATGCTTTGCTGTTGACACTCTGGGGAACAGATGAGTCCTTTGGAATCTGTTGTATCTATTTGAAATGCAAGAATTTTTAGTTCTTCTGATGGTACTTACTTATAAATAATGCCATGGTATTCTAAATTGGAGTGGAGGATTTGGTGACAGAGTGTGCAGCTGTCCCAGGGGTGTTCAAGAGACTATTTCTTCTCTTAAAAGGAATTTTTTCAAAACAGCTTGGTTTCTCACTTCTCAACTGCAGTTAATGCCACACTTAAGAGAGCTTAAAATTCCACCTTTCATTGTAACTTATGTACCAGTTGGACGTAATTGTGCCTTTGGACGCTTATTAGATCATTTAAGGAGACTCAGCCTCCTTCATTCATCTCTTTAAAATCTTCCCAACAGAAGCAAATTATTTTACAACTGGTTTATAATTGAACTGAAACTCATCTTTAATGCTGCTTGTGCAGCTCTTACTGACATAATCTTGTCTTACTGGGCTTTGAAATACAACTGTCTTGCTGGACCAGCACCCAAGGGCTGCCTGAGTTATAAAGCCATTCCCGAGCAGACAAAAAGATAACCAAGAATTCTACCAGTCACAAAGAAAGCTGCATTAGCATACGCTGTCAGAAGGAAGCCCTGTTGGTTTGCTTTTTCTCTTTGAATTCCAAAAATAACACCTCACAGACTGGTGAGGAATATTTCCAAAATATTCTACCACACCACAGAAATCTTTCGTACTCAGTACATGTTGGAATCAGTCAAATTCTGCCCCTAGAAGATTTTCTCTAAATTATTCTTTTTCGTATGGTCAGCTCTCTCTCCAAGTTCCTGTTTCCTAGCTGCTCAGTTTTAATACAACGTCTGGCACATGGTAGTTGTTCAATAAATGTTAACTAACAAACAAATAAAAGATGTACTGTTAGCCAAACAGGAGTACATCACCTAAACATCCTTTTTTCACCTTGAACCCAAAAGTCAGTAAATAATAAGTGTGATCCCCAGCTGACCTTTGTTTTGATAATTTTTGATGGCTTCTTTTAAGCATAGGCCTCGACTCCAGAATCCAGCCAGTCCCGAGTGGAAAGGGAAAGCAGTCTAGTCAAGGGCAAGAGGAAAATGGTAGCCATTGACCAAGTTGATGGAAAGTGTGCCTTGACACATTCCCATTATGAGCACCGTCCCCACCCCAGAGTTACAGCTGTGCCTAGAGTGACCACACCAGTGTTCAGCTGGCATTCTACTACTCTTCCCATTGGTCTTCCTTGATAAGCTGCTTTTACTCAGCAAAACTGTTCAGCAGACAGGATCACTGCATGTCATGAAACATGACAGGACATTCAGAATCTTTTAAGGTGCTACTTGTCTTTCTCTAGTGATCTATACATTAAAAATTAATAATAGTGATCCCAAATATTAGCTATGACCTGAAACATAGCTTTTGTATCATGTATTTGGCGGAGGTCGGGGGGTGGGGGATAAACCCTGTTCCTATTTGTCTTGGCTCAGAGAACGTTAATGGCTGAGAAGCCTTCTCCAGATCTCAATATCTCAATAGTTGTGCTTTCAAGGGGAGGTGAGGAAGTGGGATGTAGCCTTCCTGCATCCATATGTTATATGGGTATAACATAGAATATATCCATGGGTAGTTGTGTGTATGTTCATTGTGAGTTGTGTGACTTGACTAAACCAGGGGGTGGGAATACTATACCCAATCTTGTCTTAGTGTCTTTGGTTCATGTTTTTTAATATGTCCAGTGGGGCAAGACAAGGAGAGTTAAGATTTGAATTTCATAGCATAGAAAAAGGGCTGGAAATAGATTCTTTTTAGCCCAGAAAAGGGAAGATAATAAAGGGGATTGGTGACTGCTGTCAAATACTTGAAGAACTAGTGATCTTGGCCCCAGATAGTAAGGCTACAGTTGACGAGTGGACTTCCCAAAGGGAATATATCCAGATGAATATAAGCAATAACTGTAAATTGGAGGGGACTGCCCAGAGGCAATGAGTTCCTCAACCCAGGATATTTCAAGGGGAAGCCTGATGAGTGCTCCTCAGATGTGATCAAGTGTCTTCCTCTGAGACTCCTATAATCTAAGATAATATCAAGTAACATAGATGATTTACAGGCAGCTGACCCAACATTTGTACTGTGTGCCCATGGGGGAGGGCATAAAGGGGCACTGCTTATTTAGTCTGGCTGGGATCAGGTGGAAAACACTCTCCCTCTCATAATTCATTCGGAAAGTTTTCATGATGAGGTAAGAAATTTTTTTTAGGAGCTCCTTAGAGAAAATGGGGTAAGAGCCCAGCTGAAGGGGATGGGAGGCCATAGGTGGTGGGGAAAAAAAAGATGGAGATGAAATGGTTGGATAATGTGGGTATTAAATAAGCTTGCCTGAAAAGAGGGCATAGTTCAAAAGTGAGAGGAGTCAAGGAAAATTGGGTCATCAATAATGGATCCACATAAAAGACTAAAAAAACAGTAACTATTTTAGTGTTGAGTTATTAATCCCATGAATAACCACAGCTAACTCTCAGCCCCCGCCCCACAGAGTGGTGCCATCACCAACTCGGTACTCAGAATAGGAAAGGTGAGTATGTTCCATGATGGCTCAGATATGCTCCCCAGGGTCTGGATTCAGCGTACATCTCTTCATTGGTTTTCAGATGATGACTTGAAGGGTCAATATACTCTAGAATTCATTTCACTATGTATGTCCTTTCCCTTAATTTTTAAAGCAACAAGTATTTTCAATATAATGAATTGATTGCTACCACCTGGTGAAAAATACATTTCCAAGCAAATTCTTGTTAATAAAAAATCTTTTACTGACATATATATGGCCTTCTCTCCCTAAATGAAGCCCGTATCAGTTTGTGGTGCCGTGTTGTGTTTCAAATTTCCCATTAAACTAAAAGACTAATTCCCCCTTGAGACAATTATAATAGGAATCATTTCTGATTTGCCATTTTTGAACGAAGAAATGACCACATATTTCATGTCATCCAAATTATACGAAGTTTAGGTAGAAGAAACTTTGAATATATTATTATTGGGAATACCACACCTTAACTCCATTAAGTAGCAGTTCCTTTTCTCTGAGATCTTTTTCTAATTTTCTTTAAAAAAAATTCCCCAAGGATAAAAGTAAAGCCTGAAAAGCTAACTTTAATATTGTAAATGCAGAAACTAAAATGGGGCTGACTCTCAGCAATATTCAGTTAAAACTAGCCAATGGCCTTGTTCTGAGCTTTTCAAATAGGATCATGTTACATGCACACACTCCAGTTATTTTGGCTTGAACATGCCCACAATAGCATTTTGATAGGACAAGGATATGTTCAACATGGAGAAGCATGCTGACAGACTCAAAACGAGAAAAATATTCCCAGGAGCATCCTCTGGCCACCAAAACAAAATTATTTTTTCAATGAAAAGATCATTCCTTGGCTTTGGACATAGAATATTACTATCATGCCATCTCTCTTTCTTAAATTATTATTGTCACAGTGTGTTCTAAGAAGGTCCTGATTGGTAAAACATCTATCTCTGACCAGACCACCCTGCTGCCTAGAACCAGCTATTGTTTGACAAAAGAGAAAGGAGTGATTTTAGTAATTTAGTGATCTTCATGCCAAACCCAAGTATCTGAAAATAAAGACATTTTTGCCACCCACGCACCTCACCATGGCCCCACGGACCGTTTATTATTAGAAAACCAGAGCTGTCCAAGTGATATCCCTGGGGTCTGATCCTAATTCAGAAACAAAGGTAAGGATCCTTCCCTGATCACTTGTTCAGCCCTGTCTTCCTCTCCTATTCAAAGAGCAAGTGTGGACTGTGTTAGGATAGAAAAATCATTTCGTCCATTCAGAAATGGAAAAATACATATAAGTAAGGAAAGGGAAAAATATGGAAAAGCAAAGAATTGGTTAAAAAAAAATCATCATCTCCTAAATAGAAACCCTTGAAGAAGCCATTGTTGTGCAGGTAATAACTTCCAAGGTAGCTGAAGGGGGTAAAGTATCACTCTTGGTCATCAATGGATAAAATCTACCTCTAAAAGTCTCTAAATTCAACTCTAAAAAATTTAACGAACAGGAAACCTTCCAAAATGCCTTCAGTAGCACTAAAAAATTGGGAGAAATGAGAGCAACTGTCTGTGATGTTTGAGATGTCCTCTGGTCTTGAGTCCTGACCTGCTAAGAATGCCCTCCTGGCCCCCAAGCCACTTTGGTTTTGTAAATGCCTTGTGGCACTTGCGGGATGGATGAGGCTTTGTGCAAATGCATTGGTAAGGCAGGTCTTGGGGAACCGTGCTCGGGCAGGTAGCAGATTTCTGATCTCTAGTTTGCATTGATCTTACATCTAGACACAGATTCAGAAGAACAGACACTCCCTTTTCCAGTGCCTTCGGAAAGATTGCCGCTCCGTAGAATGAGTCCTTTCTCCTCCGCCCTTAATCTACAACCCAGCTTTCCCGGGAGATCCTACTTTGATTTACGATCCTCACCCCACCAGCTGAGCTTGCATTCTTCTTTGCAGTCTCTCAATGCACCGGGTGAGCTGAGCTCGTCTGATCTTTCCCCTTGATCTCTCTGTGCCTTGATGGCATCTCCAAAATACCTGTTTTGTTCTTGCCATTCATGTGCATGGAGAGGGGCAATGAGCTAGTCTCTCTGTCTGTGGCCCGCTTCCCGTATGAGGAGCATTTGGATGCTGGAGCTTTGTGGCGTTCTTGTCTGTGTGGCGTAAGGCCCGACCATCGAGCTGTGGTCAATGTCCAGTGGCATTGGAAAGTGACGAGTGAAGTTGTTCTTTTTGCACCAGCTGGTACCGCCAAGGATGACCCGCTCTGTCATCCCACGCAGTGGCCCAGCACGGCAGAGGCGCTGGCTGAGTGGAGGCTGTGGCCTCAGTCTGGAGGTTTGCAACCCTGCTGTATCCAGGAAACCAGCTGTGTCTGGTAGACTGGATCAGTGCATCCAGCCCGTAGTGGTCTGATTAAACATAGACTCAAGAGATCGTTATTGAAAAAAGAAAGTAAAAACACACCAACAGCAGAATGCATCCCACAAAGCAGGCAAAGCAGAGAGCAGATATGAAAGTATTTTCTGCAAAAGCCTGTGCTCACTGGTCGGACAGTCCCGCTCATGGCGGATTTTTTCCAGCCACGCGGAGGGACCATCACTAGCCAAATTAGAAACCCTTAACCGGCCTAAGGGCCAAAGATCCAAGTCATGGCTAAGGCTGGCTTCCCCCAAGTTTCCCACAGCCAAGCAGGTTGTGACAGGGCTTTAGGTTGATTTCAGGGAAGCTAGACATGCGTTACTGTGCAGTCGACTCTGTCTGGCCAACAGAATCCTAAAACATCTAAGATGCAGACCTATTTGATCTCTTCAGGACTATATTGTAATCGTGGATACACGTGATGCACATTTCACATTTCCAAAGGTTTCTTTTGTTTTTTATTTTATTCTTTTTGCTCATCCCACATCCTGGAATGAAGAAGGCCACAGCATGACAGTGCAAAAAGGATGCAGGGACTTGAAGCTCTCTTTAAAATGACATTTTTCTTTGTGCTTTTACGTTTCTTATTGTTTTTCTGTGCACCACTGGCTTTCAAACATGCTTTGTTATGGAACTCTTTTCACTTGTGTCCAATGTACTGAAATACTGTTATAGTCTTTGTAATGTATATTGTCTCAAGAATAAAATGAAATGTGGGTCGGGGGAGATGTGACGGCTGTATTTAACAGCATTGTTCTAGTCGTACCATCGACTCTTAAATGTATGGTGGTATGTTTTCAATAGCGTAAAAAGATTTCAGAACGCTTGTTTTGAAAAAGACTTGCAGAAGGCATGATTCATTTAAAATTTTTAAAAGCCCTCTTCAGATTCTATAAATTCATTTCCAAAGCGGGATATGAGATTCAGCTTTAAAACTCCTTGTATTCAGTCCTCACAGATTCAGTCCTCACAGCTCTAACCTGTGAATAGGAATTTGAAAGTGATAATCGGTAGAAGCTAAACATAAAAATCAGCCATGAGTTAGGAGAAAATGATTCTTTTGTATGTGAATTCATCCTAGAGTAAAATAAACAAAAGTAAGGACATACCTTTCAGTTTTGTTTTTTGATTCAATCATTAGTCCTTTTTTTATAGTAAGTTGCTGTATTAATTCTAAAGTTCTTTTAATTCAGTGTATTATCCTTCAATTGTTTTAGAAATTAGTGTATAAAGGCCTTACAGAGTTAAAAAAAAATTAAATGATCCCCTCTAGGGGATACCCCAGCGCTCATCAAAAATACATTTTCCAGATAAGTCCCCAACACCACTTGAAACTATAGTTCATACACCTTTGAACATTCTAAGACCACCCAATCCAGCTTCTCATGGGATCCAGATCTTGAGGAAGGAGGGATGGAAAAGTTCCACAGGTGATTCTCATATCTCCCTGAGACCATCCTACCTCCACGAGAGCCCCCTCCCCTCCCTTAGGTGAGAAGAACTGATGTAGTAAAAATGATCTAAGAAGGAGATGAAGTCATTTGTTTCACTACATTTAATTCATGTCATTATTAAAAATTATCAGATGTTTTTATTAGCATATACATTCTATGTTCAGTCACACATATACGTGTCATTTAACTTGGGCCCAAGTCACGACAAAGGTCTTCTGGTTACCACCAGAGTTAGAAGTGCATGGAATAGTGATATAGAACAGAATTATTATCAAGATCCAGTGATTTCTCCTTCTCAATTGGATGAATTTTTCTTATTTTTATTTATTTATTTATTTATTTATTTATTTATTTTGCTTTCCTCCAGCCCCGAATTTTTCCCATTTTTAAACAGTAAGCTTTCTCTTTAATATGGAAAGTTCAGTGGAAAAGATTGAGCTTGGGGGCTGATAAAAACTTAAGCTGTATAGTTTAGAATCCACTGGGGGAGGATTTATTAGATGGAAAAAAAATGCACTTTTCTCTTTGAAAGAGCAAGAGAAACCATTTTTACCCAGCAAAGTTAACTAATATAAAAAGGGCTTTGGTTTTTCATGAATCAGGCCTCTGGTGACTCTTTTCAGCTGGTGCTTTTTAAGTGTATACAAATACTGTTTATCCACCTGGTTGCCGCTTCATAGCTTTGATGTGTAGTATCTCTTTATAGGATGCAGCTTTGAGCCGCAGTCTGCACCTTACTCTCAGTTAGGCAAGTACACCTATATCGTGATTGTCATCTTCTACTTGTGTGATTGGCATGCTCAGTATCCTCCACCAAATAAACGGCAGCAGCTTATTGTATGTCAATAAAATTGTCTAATTGTCATGAAAATCCCGTTATAATACTGCCCCAATTCCTTAGAAAAGCGTATTTTTAAACTTTATATCTAAAAGAGGATTACATTTCCCCCCAGTTTTCTTATACGTCAATGCAGAGCACTCTTTACGAGAGCTAACGTGGGTTAAGGTACAAGTCAGACCAACGGTTGTAGTGTTTGTAGTGTTTGAAATTGAGCCCTTTTTTGGTATTAGTCTATCAAAAGCGACGTGTTTTCTTATCAATGTCAATTTTGCTTCCTGTTTCTCTCTCCCATGCCTTTCACTTGGAATGACAACAGTTGACATTAAAAAGCTGTTGGCAGGTATGGAATAACCTTATTCTGTTACAAATAGCAAAGACCAAAGTGCATGTGAGGTGGCTCACAGGTTCAATAAATCAGCAATGACATCTCTCCGGAGTGTGTTATTGGTAGGCGGCATTTAGAACTTGGGTTGTAACGATGTGTGCAAAGATGTCATTCTGTCTTCACCTAGCGTCCAAAATACCTACTGCTCCAGCAAAGTATGTTCCATGTTAGCGTTAGGAGTAACATGCAAACTGTTATTTTTAAGGTACGAAGGAAGCGACCTGTCTCATGTCCAAAGTCACAGTCACTCATGAAAATTAGGTCATGTTGCCGATAGCTTTGCAGCCTCTGAGCTTCCACTAGCGCTGAGGAAGTTTTCAAAAGGACTAGATGTCAGCACTCCTGCCGAGGGGCTATTTCCTGGTTTCACTCAGTGTGTTTTATCCCTCCTCCATCTAGGACTGTAGATCCTAGCCTCCCCGCCTCAGGGTTACACAGGCATCTTAGCGCACCCTCTCCCTTTATGTCTCTGGTGTACTGTTGTCCCAGTCACCGGGTGAAGGGACTTGCACCTTCCAAAATCGATGCCACTTCACTCCCGGATCACCTGGTTGGGAGTGCAGTCTGAGTCAGGTAACCCCTGCTGAATCGGTCTTGTGTCCTCCGTCTGCTTCTGGGTGCAGAGAGTACCACCTCCCAGGACGTGGCCCCTGTCTGCTCACTCACAGCCCCCCGTGGCCCCGGACACCTCCTTCCTGCATGGCAGCATGAAAACGGGACACGACACTCCTCCCCCGTGCAGGGGTGTGTTGCGGTACACAGGGCTCTTCGGGTCCGCCTCGGTAACCCCGCTCCCTTCTCTTGTTCCCAGTGGCCTGGTTTGCTTTCGACCCCGGTTCGGCACACGCTGACATCATCTTCTCCAACGACAACCTGACTGTGACCTGCAGCAGCTACGATGACCGGGTGGTGCTGGGGAAGACCGGCTTCTCCAAGGGCGTCCACTACTGGGAGCTAACCGTGGATCGCTACGAAAACCACCCTGACCCTGCCTTCGGCGTGGCTCGCATCGACGTGATGAAGGATGTGATGTTAGGGAAGGACGACAAAGCTTGGGCAATGTATGTGGACAATAACCGGAGCTGGTTCATGCACAACAACTCGCACACCAACAGGTACCCGGCAGCCCCCAGACCGAGCCTTCTTCACGTTGGCTTCTGGTAAAAAACGAGAGCCCGAGTTCCAGGTCCTAGTAAATAGACAACATTGAGGCAGCCAGGCAGGTGGGCTTCAGTAAGTGGCACAGGAGTTCTACTATTCTTACCTGAGGCTTTCTCAGTGGTTAACTGATGGATTGAGGGATTTTTTTTTTTTTTTTTTTTTTTTTTGCATAATGCCAGAAACGTGAGCCCTTTCCTAGGCCCTTCACCGTGGCTAGGAACTGAGACTCCCCATGCATATCCATCCCAGGAAAACATCCGAGGATTATAAAATCCAGACCTACAACTTACCAGGAGAGCTGTTTAGTTTTTCTGAACCTTCGTCTCCAAATCCACCCAATTAGGATAATAATATTTTTTCCGGACAGGAGTGTTCTCCAGATTAAATGAGATATGTGAAAATGCCTCACATCAGAGGCAGCTGAAAACAGAAGCCATTGTTCTTCTTGTTAGGATTATTATCGATACCACTGCCCACGATAGAAGCCATGCATTGAACTAGATCTTACAGATGCCAGTTTGGATAGCTTTAGAATTTGTAGGACCCTTATTATCATATAAATTCAGAATATCCAGTTTGCTGGGGAAGGAGAACATAGTAATCTCCTCAGGTTTGCCTCTAACACCAAAATATAGGCAATTATCATTTAACCCAAATTATATTTTTTTTTCCCTAGACTTCCTTTATCATTTGGTTTGCCTAAGTCAAGAGGTGTCTTGCAGGGATCCTCATCCACCTTATTCTCAAAGATTTTTTCTAAGATACACTCTCTTTGGTGTTTTGAGAAAAAAAAAATACAGCTCTATCCAGTCAGATCAAGAGGAAAGTGAGGCTGGCAGTGGTAGGCTGGTGGACAGCACGGTCTCAGCTTTTTCTGGAAGGTTATCACTGCTCCTTCTCTAGCCGGCAGGATTCCTAGGACCTCCACTTCCCATTCCCTTGGACGTTTTCTATGCATGTCCATCCAGGTGTGTGTTGTTCATTATCACTTAAAGTGAACACGCATACTGTTTCAGCCTGATATCAAATGCTACTAGGTGTAGACAAACGGTCATCTTTGGTGATTTACATTTGCAGGAGCCCTCAGTCACCAGATCCCTAATGCCATTCCCCCATGTACCGCACTCACTTTTCCCTTCTAGCTTCTTTAGTTTGGAGTGAAGGAGTAAATAATACCACGAGTGTCACACTATGCAAAGAAACACATTCTTAAAGCTGAACATGTCTGCTTGCGTGCAAACTGTGCTGTCGTTGTTGAAGTTGTGAATTAACCAGATGCGATTTATAAACCTGTCTTTTAACGACTATGTACAGTCTGTATTCTGCATGCCAGGGGGAAAGAACAACACTTACCCAGTTTCTGTGCTCTGCTGAGATGAGGATGAAATTCAATATTGCTAGACCTCAAAGAGTTGGGGGGTACGGCAAATCTGATCGTCCATGTTAATGGCTTTTGTGAAACCATCAATTGAAGCATAAGACATAATTTGCTTTAAAATGACATTTCAATGCAGGTTCTTTAAAAATCACTCCTCCATTTTCCACGATATAATTGTTTCGCTTTGCAGGGGAGAATCCTCTCCGATGTTGTCATTTTTTAGAGAGCCTTCTCAATTTAAACTCCGCATGCCCAAAATTAACATCTTTCTGGAACGAGTTTTTTCTATTAAATCGGTAGCATAAGGCCCCACATCCAATTTTTCATGCATATGCTTTCGATTCAGCATAAGTGCTTCTTTATTTTGACTTTCAAATTAAGTCATTTTGGAGTTGATGTTTAATTCCCACCATTTGTGCCAAGTGCATGACATAGCTGCGGACGGAGCTCTGATAGCCCAAAGCCGACTATTTTTTTTCTTGGACTTGAACGATTTGTTTTCTACTTCCACGGCTCAGAGGTAGAGACCCTCTGGGAATGAGTTCACTGTGAACGACAGCAGAGCAGGATGGTCGAAACTATATTCTCAACAGGGGGCGATATCTCCCGGGAGTGAAAGTTAGTGTGTGGGGGGTAAGCAAAAAAATCTTACTCTTTTTATTTACAAAACACAGATATACACACAACACATAAACACATACCGAGTATATCTGTGGTAATAAAATGATATGTGAGGAGGGGTGACTAGGGGAAAAAAAATATTACTTAAAAACGCTCCTGGGGTGTGGGGAACGATATTTTTAAACAGGCTGAGAAATACTAGTTAGTACAAAAGGGATTGTACATTGAGGACAAAGAGGGGAGCTTCTAGAATGAAGACAAGTGAAACCCAGTTGTTTTCTTTTCCCACAGAACCGAGGGAGGGATCACCAAGGGGGCCACAATCGGGGTCCTCCTCGACTTGAACAGGAAAACCTTGACCTTTTTTATCAACGACGAACAGCAGGGTCCCATAGCCTTCGAGAACGTGGAAGGCCTGTTCTTCCCGGCGGTGAGCCTGAACAGGAATGTGCAGGTAAGCGCCGTGCCCCCACGCCTCACAGCAGCTTCTGGCCGCTCTGCTTCAAAGGCTGCCCGCGGGGGGTACGTTAGCCCCTGAGAGAGGGAAGCCAACCGTGTAAGGCCCAGACTGAGACCCGGAGGAAAGGAGAGGGGAAAGGGACCAACGTTGACAACTGAGATGATCCCAGATCAGCATCAGCCCCTTCGTTAAGCTTGGACACAGTCTCACTCACAGCAAGTGGGAGATTGGAACTCAGTTCACGGTTTGCTCTTGATCAGCCCTGAGGCCTAGTTTCATCCCTAGTAGGAATGAAACCCTTGAACCAGCTGGCTTGAAAACAGAAGGAATGACTTATGCAGAGCTCCGTGAGTGCCCCAGAGGTGAAGGTATGAGACGGAAGTATTAGCACGGTTACCAGAAAGCCTGAGCATCTTCTCTGCATTGTTCCTCCGATTCGTTAGGTCCTGGGGCTAGAGAACAGTCCCCGCCTGCGGGCTACTTACTTACAATTTACTGCAAAAGGCAAACAGGTTCTTCTCATGCATTCATTCAACAAATAACCACTGAGTGCCTTTAATATGTCAGGCACTGTAATTATAATTATTATAGGCATTGTTGTTTATCAGTGAAAACAAAACATAAAAATCGTGCCCTGTAGAGCTCGCATTTGAGTTATGGGAGATAGGATCGATAGTAAGCACAATGACCGTGTTAATGATATACATGCTAGAAGGCAGTAAGTGCAAGAGAGTCGAGGCCGAGGGCAGGGCG